GCATCATTGATGGACTCAAGTGTGGCAGCGGTAGTGAGGTTGGCCCAGGATCGGACATTGTTTCGTTCTGCTGTGCATGGAGTTGCTATGAGTCGATTCCGACTCGATGGCACCTGGCAACAACAACAACCACATCTGAGTTCATTTAAAGCATGGCATTCAATAACTTCAAATTTTGCAGATGGAGAAGATAGGTTTTAAAGAGTTAGTGCAGGGATGAAAAAGGCATCTTTCCTCACAAGTGCAATGCAGGTGTTCGGAAACACTAGTGATTGGCAATGGCCTTGGCTGGAGTTACCCTTAACTCTGACCAATGACTGAACCTCTGCCAGAGAGAGAATGTAGATTTCCATATATCCATGAAAAAAGTCAATCATGTTGACCAAGTATTCTGGAATTTGTAGGACAACTGAACTCTGTTTGCCAAAACTAAATCAGAGATTTCTGCTTTCCAAGGGAAAAGCTGAACCAGATCTTGCTTAAGGCAAAGGAGATTAGTGCAGGCAGGAACCTCAGACTTTGACATCAAGACAAACAGGAGGTCACAGCATATCTGTTGAGAGAGGTTTCTGTGGTCACAGAACACACTGAGCAAGAAGACCTCAACAGAGCTCAGGAATCAAACACTGTCAGCCAAAGCTGATTTGAATCTCCTTTAGTCCAGAGAAGTAGAGCATGAAAAATGTTCAATGAGCTGAGGCGATTATCAGACAGAACCAGAGCATATGAAATTGAATGAAGCAGGAGCAAACATGCTAGCTGGGGATGAGGCTTTATGCAGTTAGCAACAGCAAGTCAGTGAACACCAACATGTTGGTTTCATTCAGGTCACCCAAAGGGTCTGGTTGAGAACAAGTCACATGTACACGAAAGTCTTTTAAAGAGCTCTCTTTAAATTTCAGCATTTCTTCTACGTCTGCTTAAATGCAGAGCTTTCTACCATCTTCATATTCAAGCCAGAACACTGAGCTTGGCAAGGAACCTAGTAACTATGCAGCTGGGAAGATTGGAGCTGTTGTCGGGTATGGTTCTCTTTGCTAACCTCAGGTCCCCTGCCTCTTCATGTGGCTGCTGCCAACCTGAGCTTTGGGGAAAAAATTCAGGGGCATGTCCAGGGGTGATGAAGGTTATTACACAAAAGGTCAGCCCACTTGAGTCACAGAGGCCACCCACATGCCTGGCTGATCACCTTTGCACCAGCCTGTAGCAGGTGATGACTGTTATCTTTATCAAGGTCTGAGAACTTGTGGTAAAAATACTCCGGTCCACTGTTTACTGCTGTTCGGGTGTTTACAAGTGACTCTGGAGAGCTGGTGGTCTCAAACCACCAAGCATGTCCAGTGCTTATCCTAGAGGGTCACATAAGTTGTTTTCTTGTTTTTGTTTTTTTAATCTAGGAATGTATGGGAAGAACAGAGTCAATCAGCAAAGGAAAGTACAAGTAAAACCTTGCAAATCACACGCCCAAATAAATGTTGGTTTGACAATCCACCAAAAAAATAGGTTAATCAATCAAGATTATTTCCTTTGTAGTAATGCCAACTCAGTCTATAATAGGAACAGGACTTTCCAAACACAGAGAAAGTACTCTGTTTCATTTCCAAATGCTGTATCTGATTCTGATTATATAATTCTGCCTTTCAAATAGAGACCAAGGGAAAGGATACTGTTACAAAAGAAAGAGTGGGCAAAGGGCCTCCACCAGGTACATACCATTCAAATAAAGCCAAAGCACTTTTAAACCTGCAGGATTCCATTTAATTTTAAGTCTATATAATAACTTGCTTTTCCTAGTAGCCATTAATCTCCCTGGGACTTCAAAATTCTAATTATACAACTCAACATTAAGAAAATTTAATCACACGAGTATGCCATAATTTAAAACGACCCTATCAATCTGAAAAATCATTACCTACCTCATATTTTAGTTTACGTTGAATAGTGCCATTGTGAAGTTTCTCATTATCCTGAAAAGAAAATAAAAAGTCCTTTGTTAAATTATAGTATTTTATAGAAGGGTTAAGTTGATTTGATTAGAAATATTTATGAGAACAAAATTCTAAAGAAACATACTTACCATTCAACAATGACACCGTCTATAGAATTTACATTCCCTAGTTGAACATCTCTGGTAGCGTAGTGGTTACGAATCAGGCTGCAAACCTTAAGGTCAGCGGTTCGAAACTACCAGCTGCTCCGCGGGAGAAAGATGAGGCTTTCTAGTCCCGTAAAGATTTACACCCTCGGAAACCCTATACAGGGTCGCTATGGGTCGGAACCGACTCGATGGCACATAACAACAACAACAACAGTTGAACATCAGAGCATGGTGGCTGTGTAGGATAAGCACTGGTCTGGGAACCACAAGGTCGGTGGTCTAAGCCCACCAGCTGCTCAGCATGAGAAAGATGAGGCTTTCTGCTCTCACAAAGATTTACAGCCTCAGAAACCCTATACAGGGTCGCTATGAGTTGGAACCGACTCCATAGCACTAACAACAATAGGTGAACATTACTTTAGCAATCTATCTGCTTGTAAGACAATTTAACCATTTATTTCTAATCTTCAAATTCTAAATTTAAAGATTTCCTTAGTACAATCCTTAATATGTATGACAGATATGAAATATATTTGTTGATAAAAATTAACTTGTCACAAATAAACATCTGAAAGGCAAAAATGTATATTTCTAATTTGGGTAATTTACAAAATAAATTAAATGCCTTACGGAAATAGGAATTGTTCTTTACATGAAATGGAAAAATAACACATGTAGAATTTTGATAAATCAAGCAGAGTATATACAACATTTTAAGATCTACTAGAAGACGAAAAATTTTAAATAAAATTTTGTCAAAAAATAATTCAAGAATAGTATTTAAAAACTATTAAACTCCATCCAAACAAGATTTGGAGTTCTGGTGTGGCATGTAAGATAAAGCACTGGACCACAAGGTTGGTTTAAAATGCAAGGTCGGCAGTTCAAACCCACCAATCACTCCTTGAAAATCCTGTATGGGGTCACTGTGAGTTAGAACCAACTTGACGGTACTTTAACAAGAAGAAGAAACCAGGATTGAATTTGCATTTTTAGAATGTTCCTTATTCAATCTGTATTTCATTGTAACATCTAAACATTCTCACTTAGAACCAGTAATAAGCCTTCACCACGACCACCACTAACTTAAGTGAATAATCATCTTGAATACAAATGATCATATGACTTGGTTCCTTCAGTTTACCTTTATTGTTTCTGCAGATGTATTGCCACCATCGCCAATCACACGATGAAAATCCTGAAGACGTCGTTGGACTTCTTCTTCAATATAGGCATTGATCCTTAAAACAATGGAACCACATGAAACATGTTGAGTTCCTTTCATTATCACTCCTTCAAAAAAGAGGACTTTCTCATTCGAAACGCCCAACACTAAAACTACCTCTGAACCATGAACATTTTTCTCCTAAGAAACCTAGTGCTAAGTGTGTTCCTCAAACCAGAAGTAAACTGACAAATAACAGAAACTTGGGGAGTGGACAGAAGACTAACTGCTCTCATCCAAAACTTCCAATGTGCTCTTAGTGGAGATTCCACAACAGATCAGGGAGAAAGCAGAGACACTGGGTTCACAAAGCTCCATGGTCTCAGGCAGACACTTCACATGCTGAGCCTCAGTTACTTCAAACATAAAATGGTAATAATTATTTTTCACAGCATAAGGTCATGAAGATAAAAAAGATAGGTGGATGTTGTCTCTGTGAATCCTTGTTAATAACATCAAACAATATCTTGCATTGTTCCTTATCTGTCTTGTCTGTCCAACTGGCCTATCTGCACTAGTTGGTAGAAATCACATTTTCAAGCCACTCTGCAGGATAAAGATGAGGCTTTCTGCTCCTGTAAAGATTTTTAAAGCCTTGGAAAGCCGATACAACAACAATACTATAGGGGTGCTATGAAGTCAGAAACAACTGGAGGCCAATGAGTTTGGTTTGGTTTTCTTTCCAAAATGCCTAGCAGAGAGGAAGCCCCAACAGATGACTTTTGAGGGAACTGTCAACTGCATACAAGAGGTTTCAAAAAGTTCATGGAAGAAATTGCAGTATCTTCTAATTGCATTTTTCCATGAAATTTCTGAAGTCCTCTTATACATAATTATACACAGAATATATGTGAAGTTGTATGATGTACAACCAGCAGCCTTCACCATTCCAGTAGTTCCTGATCTCTGGTTCAGCTGATTTGATCTTAGACTGTTTCATTCACAGGGACCCAAGAGACCAGAGAATGTTAGCTCCATCTAAAATCTTTCTAGAGGCTCAGTGTGCTCAAAGAGAAGTCTTACTAATTTCTAAGCACCCTTTGTCCCCAATTCTACAGAAACCAATTAGATGCATTATTTCACATAAACTGCTTTCCATGTTTACATCTTAGCATATTTTAAAAACAAATAATTTTTAGTTGTACAATTCTGTAACATTAATTTCATTCATGAGGTTGTGTAGCCATCATCACTATCAATTCCAAGTTTCCAATCACCTTCAACCGAAACTCAGTAGTGCTGAAGCTAGCCCTCCTCGAAATCCCTTTCCAGTAGCCATGGTAACAAAGCGAGATTTTAACCCAGGTATCCTAACTCCAATATATATATATATATCTTCTTGTTGTTGTTAAGTGCTGTTGAGTTGTCTCTGACCCATAGCAAGCCTTTATAGGGTTTCTGAGGAGCCACTGGTGAGCTGAACTGCCAACCTTGCAGTTAAAACCAACTTTGCAGTCCAGCATATTTACCTACAGTGCTACACCAGGACTCTCTCACTCACTCTCTGTCTCTCTGTCTGTCTGTCTCTCTCTGTGTCTCTGTCTCTGTGTCTCTGTCTCTGTCTCT